ATATATATATATGTAGATGACAATTTCTCAGAAATATTTTTTTTCAGGATCAGCACCTTTTAAAATTCAGAATGTATAATCTTATATTTTAAAATTGCAATTGCTTAATGAAATAGTGTTCTTTCAATAAACTTTTTTAACTCACTGCTTTTAAGTAATTTAGATGTTCAATAAATTATTTTTAAATAAAAAATAAAAACAAACACTCATAGTTCCCACATAACCATTTTAAATGAAGGTACAAACTGATTTCTTTAATGAAAATTAACAGAAATACTTATACAGACACTTAAGTGGACACTGAAGGTAGCTTACAAAAGGAAAAAGTTGAAACAAATTAAGTAAATTATACACCTTTCCTTCCAAGCAGTTCAAATAATTTTGGTATATCTTTATTAATTTTCTCAATAGTCCTACATATTTAATAGAGAATTCATTAGCCCACTTTACAGATATTAAGGAGAATATGAAAAAATATTAATAGCCATAAATTACACCTTAAATTGTATTAACAGAAAGACCTGGAAATAGAATTTAGTTTTTCTCTTCGACCAAAAAGATATTAATGAAGCCATACAGGTAACTGAACCTAATTCCTCTGGCTCATAGTTTAAATCCATTTATGAGGATACTGACAAAAGGACTTTTTAGAAAAGCTCCTTAAATTTTAGAATAAAATATACTCAAAAGTTAAAATACACCACACACACACACACACACACTGCCCACTATTTTATTCTCTCCATATACCAAAAAAAAGTTTAAAAGTTCTAACACTTTGCATACACTATTCAAAATACCAGTTTACCTCTCTTTTAATAATGGGATCTGGATGGTCTAAGCATTCAATTATTGTCATCTGGTGCTGAAGAGCCAGAGTGGGATCCTGTTGGATAACATAGGTAAGAGCCTTCAGTCCTAGAAACAAAGATTACATTATACAATTGACTGGAAACAAATACCTAGCAAATTTCAAGAGCCCTCTTTGTAATTTCTGTCAGAATTATTTAATCATCTTGGAGCACCTGCGTGGTTCAGTCATGATCTCAGGGTCATGAGATCGAGCCCTGTGTCGAGCTCCACCCTCAGCAGGGAATCTGCTTGAGATTCTCTCTCCCTTTGCTCTCCACCTCCCCTTTGATGCATGCGTGCATGCGTGCGTGTTCTCTCTCTAAAATAAATAAGTAAAATCTTTTTTATAAAAAATTATCTAATCATCTTACCTAAATATTTGAGATTTATTTTAGGTGACAGAACAAATTTTCCAATGCACTTGGCAGCCTTCTCAAGTAATTCTGATTTAGGATAAATAGAATAAACTGTATGTACACATTCAAACAGAATAGCTAGAGAAAGAAAATATAAAATATCAGGGATCATGTTAAGGCATAGTAAAAGAACATGCTTATATAGAACTCACAGCAAATCAAATGAATTAAAAGGTCAGTTTTAGTAAAAAAAATCTTACTTATGGAAAATTTTCAAAGATAGGAACTTTGTGGTTTTCAGGCTTACACAGTTATTAGGATTATGCTACCACAGCACACTCTAAAGAGAATTACCTATTAATAGATAAAAATGATGAATTCATTCATGCAACAAGTATTTACTGAACACCTCCTATGTGCCAGGCATTGTTGTCATAGGATGGACACAGCCATGGAAAAAAGACAAACACCCCTGCCCTTAAGGAGCTCACATTCTAATGGACACATAGGTAATATATTCATTGTTTCTATATAAACATATATTTCCAACACTCTTTCAGTGTTTTAAAATAATTTGTTCTCAGGCAATTCCTACCACTCACACAAATAAACAATATATGTAGTTTATTTTAATACAATCATTTTAGAATGTTCTAGCATTTGCTTCAAAGTAGGACCACTTCATAAAAATTCTCAAGTCAGTTCTTTAAAGGCAACCTCAAAGAACCTCAAACCATCAACTGAACATCTTGGTAGTGTTCAAATTTGATTTTCTAATGTAGTTAAACATCTGATAAATATGACAGATGATCAAAGTAGACACTAAAATGTTTTTCAAGCTCTTTTGAAGAGCCTAAGTCAAGGAGCTAGAGGTTCACCACAGTAGAGAACCAGTGAAGTATCAATACATCCTGCATGTGCTGTGGAATCACAGTAATGAGAAAGTGACACAGACTCAGCAAACTCAACAGTTCTACTACAAGCCGAAGCACATCCAAGTGTCCTTGATAGGATCGTTTCTTCTCTAGTTCCAAAAGCCTAAAACAAAACAATCAGATACTTTTTGTGTGTATAAGACAGATCTTGAATATTCAGCTAGCTATGTCTTACACTGCTAAGTTGCCCATCAATTGATTCAAATCTAAATTTTGTATGAAAAGCTTTATATGAACCCCTTCTACAGAGAAAGAAAGAGAGAAAAGAAACCAGAAGTATAAAGTTCTCTTTAAGAAGGGAAAGGACTTTAAAGGAAAACCTACAAAGTAAGTTAATTTAACCTAAAAAGAGGGGTGCCTGGGTGGCTCAGTCAGTTAAGCGGCTGCCTTCGGCTTAGGTCTTGATCCCGGGGTCCTGGGACTGAGCCCCTCATCAAAGTGCCACTGATACCATATCCTTCTCCCTCTCCCTCGGCCTGTCACTCTGTCTACTTGTGCTCTCTCAAAATAAATAAAATCTTTTTAAAAAATTTTAAAAATCAACCAAAAAAGATACTCTGTATATTCAGATGTTGTGCTGTAAAATGTCCTCACTCTGTGCTATGAAAACAGTAGACGTTATGACTTAGTGAACTAAACAAAGAGAGGCTTGGTCAAGTGACTAACCTACTAAGGCAGGAATGGATAAACCAATACTAAATCCAGCCCTTGGCCTACTTTTGCAAGCCTGTGGACTGATTTTCACATTTTTTTTAATTGAGATATAATCAACATATAGCATGTTAGTTTCAGGTATACAGCTACATTTTTTAAACATGGTGAAAAAGGGGTACCTATGTGACTCAGTCAGTTGGGCATCTGACTCTGTTTTGGCTCAGGTCATGATCTCAGGGTCTTGAGACTGAGCCCCACGCTGAGCTCCCCGCTAAGTGGAGAGTTGGCTTGAGATTCTTTCTCCCTCCCTTTCCTCCCACTCTGCTCCTCACTCCTCCCTCCTGCTCATATTCTCTCTCTTGCTCTAAAATAAAAATCTTTAAAAAAAATAAAAATAAATGTTAAAAATTAAAGTTGTGAAAAAAACAAAAAAAAGGAGAATTTATGACAGAAACCTATGTTATATACAAAGCCTAAAATATTTACTATCTGGCCCCTCTTTAGAAAAAGTTTACCAAGCCCTTAACTAACCAGCCAGTCCTAAGTAAGACTAAAAATAATGTTTTGCAGGGGTGCTTGGATGACTCAGTGTGTTGAGCCTCTGCCTTCGGCTCAGGTCATGATCTCAGGGTCCTGGGATTCAGCCCCGTATCAGGCTCTCTGCTCAGTAGGGAGCCTGCCTCCCCTCTATCTGCCTGCCTCTCTGCCTTTGTGATCTCTCTCTCTCTCTCTCTAATAAATAAATAAAATCTTTAAAAAATAATAATAATGCTTCGCAAAAATAATAATAATAATAATAATGCTTTGCTGGTGCACCTGGGTGGCTTAGTCGGTTAACCATCTGCCTTCGGGTCAGGTCACGATCCCTCGGTCCTGGGACTGAGTCCCGCATCAGGCTCCCTGCTCAGCAGAAAGCCTATTTCTCCCTCTCCATCTACCCCTCCCCTCCACTCATGCGCTCTCACTCTCTCTCAAATAAGTAAATAAAAATCTTTGAAAAAAAGATGCTCCATTTTCTATTGTAACTGACATGGTTTCCTTTACAGATTCCTGCCATTCAAAACTCTGCTGCTATCAGATTGTGTTACTACAAAAACTTCTCATTACTCACCTAAAATCTAAACTTATTTAGATGCTTATAAAATTTCTGGAAAGCTAGTACAGGTAAAATTAATAGTTAAAAAATTGCATTTATGGGGCGCCTGGGTGGCTCAGTGGGTTAAGCCGCTGCTTTCGGCTCAGGTCATGGTCTCAGGGTCCTGGGATCGAGTCCCGCATCGGGCTCTCTGCTCAGCGGGGAGCCTGCTTCCCTCTCTCTCTCTGCCTGCCTCTCTGCCTACTTGTGATCTCTGTCAAAAAAATGAATAAAATCTTTAAAAAAAAAATTGCATTTATTAGTCAACTTAGGCATAAATGAGCTGAAAAAGAATTTAACAGGTTTTTAGATTATTTTTCCACTGGAGCTAAATTACTCTATTCCTCAACTCCACAAAAATCTGAGTATAAGTCCGTAAAATAAAATAGCAGCCACCCTCCTGGCTCCCCTCTACAGTGGTTTCAAAAAAGTGCTTCTGAGGATTTCTAAACATAAAAACACAATGCGAAGTTTTGTTTTCTCTTCCAGAGCAACCCAGATCCAAACCAAATATCAAGTAAAGATTATCAAATTAAAAATTAATAACATTCTAACATTTATGATACTCTAATTTTATCATAGGTATTTTGGGCTGGATTACGCAAAAAATTCAAAGTTCCACTGATACCATATCCTTCAGACTAGACTTTAATTTCATATGAAGTAAGTCTCTATCTACTGACCCCACTCTGGCAGGGAGATGTGGGTACCACCAATGGAGGTGGAAGCCCAGGTTCTCCACTCTGCCTACTTTGACACTTGGAGAAGCAAGGGTTCCTTGTTCTGGACAAAGTGGTGGGGGACAGGAACATCTGCTGATACTATCCTGCCTGGGAAAGAAAGGGGCATTACTTCCTAAGTACTCCCTACGTGGCCACCACCGACAGTGGCCTGAGCATGCCTGACCAGTGATGAAGGCTCCAACTCTCCATCAGGCTTCTTCTAACACCACCCCAGCAAAGAGAGGACAGGTACTTCGTTAACCCCCTATTTCTAACTAAATCCAGGCTCCCCACATCATCTCCACTGACAGTGCAAGGGAGGGTTGCACCTGGCAACACCTGGCACAGATGAAATTCTGGCTCTTCTCTTGGGCTTCTCCACCACAAGTTCAGGGGAGGGTTGGGAAGCTGGTTACACCTGGTGTGGTGGAATTCCTGGCTTCCCACTTAGTCTTTTCTGCCATGACACAGTTTGTTCTTTGTGATGCTTGGCTGGAATGCAAGACCACTGTCTAAAAGTTTTCTATCTTGCTATTTTGCCTTTTTCTTATCTTTCCTTTGGCTAGACAGCAGGCTTTTTTCTTGGGGCATTTTTGTCTGTCAGAATTTCCAGCATGCTGGCTCTCCAGTACCCAGTCTTGGGACTGAGGCAAAAAGAAAACACAGGGTACTCACTATGGTATTGTTTCTTGCATCCCAAGGTCTCTAACCAGTCTACCTTCATTTCTCTATCTTTCAGAGTCAGATGTTAAATTTACAAATAATACGCACTAAGTGGGAAAAACAGGGAAATGAACTTCTATCTACTTTTGATGGTCTGTTCCTTGTACTCCATTTTATATAATTCTCCCAATTTATTAAATAACTTACTAAAAATGTTACTCTCATCAGTACCTTGCGTACCAAACTCCCGTATCTCTGGATTTATACAGTTGAAAGTCCAAACTCATATGGCTCCCCTGAGAGGACCTCTGCAACATGGCCTTTCCACTGCTCCCACTTCGAACTGTCCATGCAGGCTGCTGGTAAGTCAATATTCTCTGAAACAGTTTTACACATCCCCACTTCTGCACCCTCTCTCATGTTCCCTCTGCCTAGACCCCCTTCTGGCTATCTGAATCCTCCCTACCTTTCAGGGCCCCATTACATCAATAAATCCTTATGTGTGTTCTCAGGCCCACAGTGATCTCTACCACCTCTGGTTATTCCCTGCACCACCCCCCACCACATAGCATTCTACCTTATATTGGTATTATGCTTTCATAAATAAGCTATTTCTTCCATTATATTGTAAATTCCTTGAAGGCAAAGATTGTATTTTACACTTCCTCATATGCTCTATATCACTTTGTACAATGCCTGGTACATAACAGTAGTCAATAAATGTCTTTGATGTGACTTATATCTTAATTTAACAGTAAGGTAAGTTATAATAATGGAACTGTCATAAAAATATGGTTTAGAAAGTATAAAGACTAAAATTCAATCAGATAACTGATAAAAAGTAATCTTCTTTTCCTTTAATTCAATAAAATATATTACTCATTGATTAATCTAGTACCAGATCCTGGGATAGACACAGTTTCTTCTCTTATGAAGTTCATAATTTAAAATCCACATCCTTAAGCAAAAAAATATTTATGTTAGCACTACTAAAGAACAGTCTACCATTGATAAAATCACTGTAAGTTATAAACCATATCAATACAAAAAAGGAGGGGGCCTAACAATGGAAAGATTAATAAAGGAAATAAATAAAAGAAACTATAAGGTTTCCATGGCAAGGTGAACACTGGACTGACAGCCTACAAAGAAACAAACTGTTGGTTTTGGTCCCAGAAATCTTAATAAAGGAAAGGTGCCCTAGTGGAGAACATTAAAAAATATTCCCTCAGGTATACAGCATTCTCCAAATCAAAGGAATGGGTAACAATGGCTAGATCCAAAAAGGGGAACTGGGTGGTGAGTAGTAAGGGTCAAAGGAGCACTTACTGTTCACTGTATACCTTTGTGTACCTTTTGAATTTTGAACCATGTGCATATATTACCTATTCAAGAAAATAAAATTAAAGCTGAAATGTCAATTACCAAAAAAAAAAAAAAAAAAAAAACCCAAAAAAAAAAAAACCAAAAAAAAAAAAAAAAAAAAATCCCAAAACAAAAAACCTTCTGTAAGAAAAAGAAAAGTAGATCCTTTTAAATTCTTACCCTACATGCTAATTATATCTCAAGCAAAACATTTTAACTTGGCTGCCTGCAAAGACTCTGGCACTTCTCTAGAGCTTCTGACAGTTCCTAGCCAAACCACCTGTGCCAGCAAGGTTCATCCTTACCTCTGGCCTGACTCTTCTCATTACATAGCAGGATCCTAGATAATACCAACTGATCATTATGCTATACACTCCTAAGGGTAGGGACTGTATCTACCTCTTTTTCCTTTAATCTCCCAGACTCAGCATGGAGAAATAAATCAACTCTTTCCTCAATCTGTACCTGGTTTACAGATCAAGTTTTTGTTCTGTAAGCCTTCAATAAATGCTGGTTGAAAAAATGAATAAACCACTTTTATTGCCTTAATTACCATTTATATGTGCAAAACATAAATCTATCCTTCAAAATTTACCATCTCAATTCCTTATGTGCATTATCATCCCTGTACTAGTCTTATACTGCAATCCTTTCTCCTTATTCCTACTCCATCTTTGTCAAGCACTTTTCTTACAGTTAAACTAGTGCAATTTCTGCCCCCTAGTCAATTCTACGTTTCTACAATCATTGTCTTTAAAGATCCACAGTTTACCACTGTCTTGAAGAACAAGTAATGGTCTTCCACCCCTACTTCACAGTATTTTACTAGATTTTATTAGATTAAGAAATGACTTCTCATTTGAGTTACTCTCTCAATGTCTCTTTACTGGTCTTCTCCAGAGCATGCAAAATTCAAACTGTTTTATTTTGCTTCTGAATACTTCCAAATACCCCAATTTCTTTACTGAGCTTTTTCAAAGTAATCAATAAAGAACTAAAGTTCCTCCCTCTGGCTATTAAGAGTGGAAATTTTTTGGTTACTTTCCTAAGTTCTCTACCCCCAAATTGCTCATCTCGTATCATTAAACTACTTTATAAAACTGTATACAACACATATATAAATATTATTATTGCATATATATATATATATATGTTATACGTCTTTGTCTATACCCTTCTCTTCCTTCAGTTGTCTTCTTAAATATCATTTTTCCAGAAAAATCTTCCTGTTCCTCCTCTCACTTACAGCTAGCTGCTACAGCACCCTATAATTCTCCTTTGTAACATTTATATCACCTGTCTTTTTCCATCTAGTCTGTGAGGTCAATGATAATACTATTTTATCCACAACTGTATTCTAAGCACTTTGCACAGGGCCTGACAAGAAACAGAAATTTAAGCAATATTTGATGACCAGTTGACTGATTTATTTGAGATCTGTCTTCCTAAGTATGGAACAGACCTACTGGGTTACACTTACAGTCAATTAGATGTTTAGTGAATACTTTCAATATAAAAACAATTTCTCTTAAAAAATGAAATAATTAGAAAAGAGAAAGATAACTTTAATAATGAATTTAGGTCAACATTTTAAACAATGCCATAATTTCAAATTATTTCTATTAGTTATCTAAGGCTTGCACTGAAAAATAATAACCCAAAGAATCATTTTAAAAATTAACATATACAATTCTTTTGGAATTTATAGTATTCTAACACACATTTTGTTACACTCCTGGAAAACACTGTTAATCATTAGAGTAGCATTTACATATGTTACCTACCATATGTGACATTGTGATTTAACTCGGCTCTTCGTAAGGATTCATCAAGAACATCATACATTAATTCACTTGTCCTGTTTAAAAGATATTTTATTTGCAGTAGAATTATAGTATTATAACTCAATAAAACAGTTTTTCAAACTTCTCTCTCTTTAAAACTGAGGATCTACAGAAAAGAAGTGAAAGAAATTCATTTTATGAACTTAATAGAACTTCACTTCTTTAAGATTCCATTTGTTCTTTTTCATGAGTTTAATTTCCTGCTTTATCAAAGCTAACTAGTCAATGGAGAGATATCTAAAGTTAATCAACTCTTTCCTCTACCTGTACCTAGTCTATAAATCAGGCTTCTGTTTGAATATCTTCATAATTTTACTTATAGTAAAATATGCTACCTGTTTCAAATTACTACTGTAAAATCTCGCATATCCAGATTATTCCAGATGGTAACCACATAGTCTTCAAAAAATATTCAAATACTAGTCTTTCTTTGAATAGCACCAGGTTCTCTGGAAAAAAAATTTCAACTTTCATTTACATTAAATATAAAGAGATCACATCTTGTGAAATGGGTTTCTATCATTCCTGTATCTTTGTGGTTACTGATTACAATTACAATAACTGGGCTGAGGTAGATACTATAAGAAAATGCAGTGCTTTGTACAGCACTCTGCCTCCCAACCTAGAAAAGTCTTCTCCAAGAGGTCAGTGTGAAACTATGGCTTCTCAACTGGCATTTCTGTTTCAGATTCAAAAAGCAGTAACAGAAAAAAAAAAAAAAAAAAAACACTACATCACAAACAATACACAGAGTAGTCTTGCAGAGAAACTACACTGTAAAACAAAGAGATCAAAATAATGTGAGGCAACACAAATAACTTGTGATGTATGTTACACCTTTTTCAGAAAATTTCTTTTTTCCAAATATACAGTTATAAAATTTAATATGAAGTGCATGTGCTTTTATTCTGTCTTGACTAAAGTGTAACTACCCAGTGGGAATCCAGAACCATATTCTAAAATCCCTCATTTTATTGTGTAAGCACTTTTTCCAGACAGTAACCACAAGGCAGACATTACAACCCTCCCCCCGACCCCAAATTTGGTAATACTACACCTAGATTACAGTCTAGTCTTCTATATTTTAAAAGCCAATGTCTGGCATAAGAGTCATAATTAACCACATGAAAATGTGGAACATCTGCAGACATGATCAAGCAACATTAATACCCTAAGACAAAGAATGCTATAAAACAAAAGAAAATATTCAAACAGACAAAAGAATATAAATATAAAAAGACTTTTCCAGTAAATTAGCTCTTTCAATTAAATATACTGGAATCCTGTTATAAAATAACATTTTTACTTGCCACACTGAGCTAAGCATGGTATAAGAAATACAAGATTTGTGTTAACAGAAAATGTCAGAGTTGGGACAAAAAAGGAGAAAATATTCTAATGTTCCACAACATCATAAGAGTTCCCCTCTTTATTCATTTCATTGGGCCTAATTCTATTCAACTGAGCTCTCTGGAGGTAAGTACTCTCTTTGTACATATGCTTTGTAACTTTGTACATATTCCCTAAATTCATCCATAAAGGAAGTAAGAAAAATAATGAGTTAATGAATTTAGTAAATTCACTAAATGCCTCCAAAGTCACTGGATCTTTTTAGACCGTAAGGTCTGGTTGCATTACCATGAAATTCATGATTTTAAAACAGAATTCTAGTGAACTCCAACTAGAGCTACACAATAGGAGAGGCTGGATTATATAAAATAAAATTAGGACAAACATTTGTAATGTGCATATCTACTCCCATCACCTCCAGTTTTTTTACTTAGGTTTCATCAGGAATTGAGATTCAGAAACACAGAAAAAGTAACATAGCAATACCAGGAGTGATACAGTCCAATTAGCTCTCATTAGGAGCTCCAGGGAAATGCAAACTGACATGACACTGACAAGGCACTAGGAGGAGCAAGAGCCTAGAAGACAATCCCTTTGTAAAGACAGGCTAAAGAATTAGAAGGTACCCAAATGCACAAAGGAGAACCATCTCTCATAAAGTCAAAACACCGATTAGCAAAATTCTTTTTAGCAAATATTTTCTTAAGAAACACATTAAGGACTCAAGCCATGGTCCTTGCTCTCAAAGGAACTAAAATTTAGTTGGGCTTGCTCTTGAACAGTTCAGGAAAAAAATTTTAAAATATGTGTGCACACACAAATATATAGAGAGTGAGAAAGAAAAATAACACAAATGCAAATAATTGATGTCTCTAGGAAAATGGTTTAACGAAGCTTCTTGTACTGTTCTTGGAACTTTTCTGTAAGTTTGAAAACTATGGCAAAATAAAAAGTTACACAAAATATATATCATTGAAAAGACACCCATAAAAATTATATTTAAAAAAAAAGAGTAAAAAAATAAAAAGAGTAACTTAGACAAATGAATTAAAATGAAGCACTCACATCCAACCAGAGCAAGAGTCAGCAAACTAAAGTCTGCAGGCCTATCCTGGCTGGATGTTTGTTTTTGTACAGTTTTCACATTTTTAGATGATTAGCTGGGGGGGAGGGAAGATCAAAAGAATATTTCACAATACATAAAGATTATATGAAATTCAAGTTTAACATCCATAAATTTTTTTGGAACACAGCAACGTTCATTCATTTATGGATTGTCCTTTTGAGTTCTACAGTAAGAGGCTTGAATGGCTGCAAGAGACAACATACAGCCCACAAAGCTTAAAATATTTATTGTCTGGCCCTTTACAGAAAGTTTCCCAATCCCTAAACTAGAATGATTAAGAAGGCTTCATGAAAGATATGGAGCCTCAGAGGTCCCTTTCTCTATGAGCAGGATTTAGATAAGCAGAGAGCCAGGATTATCCTATCCTAGCAACCTGTTATGTCCTTCCTACGGTGGTTTATTAAACATTGGGAGAATCTGATTTATGAAACTTCTAGATGACAGGCTATCAAGGTATCAAGTTTACTTAGAACAGTTTACCTTTGATCATCTTTTCCTAGAAGTCCTAGTATTCGCAAAAGCTGGATTTGTAACCATGGTGCTGGCACACTGTGGTAATTGAAATCTACTGGGAGCTTTCCTCCAACTACTTGCTTCAATATTGTTACAAAACTCCCCGTCAAGTCTTTATATCCAGATGAATTCTCCTATATCCAAAAAACAAAACAAAAAATGTTCTGTTATGTCTTATCAAATATAAAATAGACCTGGTTGAAATGCCATACAGAATCTAACTTAGATTATACCTATATGTTCACTTAGAAATTTCAGGTGCACATTTAATGAAACAGTACTCTAATCTAATTAGATTTCCTCTTTGATGAAACTGCTCTAGCTACCTGTTCCAAATCTGAATCATTCCCCAAAAAACGTCCACCAATAGCTACTTGTACCCACACAGTCTTAATCACATTTCATAATTTCTTACAATTATATCTTATATAGAAATTTTACTAGCCAATATCAGCAATTAAATCAAAAAGGGGAATGAAAGGCACACTGATAAGGGGCATTATTTCTACTTTTGATGAAGATCAAGGCCTGTTTGCAATCTCTGAACTTTGTTTGCAAAAGACTTCTCATGTAAACGATCTGTGTTCTGGGTGGAAGAGCACACAGAGTCAGGTCTACTCAAACATTCAAACCTCCCAGAATCAGTGCATCTGCCTTTTAAAAATTAATTAATCCTACAGTATTTAAACATACCTGTGTTTCTGAATGAGTGTGCTTTGATTATCTATCTGACTAATCTCTTGAACTGGGGAAATTACATACACATTCCTCAAAGTAAACATCAGATTCTTCATTGTAGTTTTTAATCTCATGATCAAGGACACCTTTTTGGAAGGGGAATAATAGCTCTTTCAAAGTTTAGTAAACATTAGAGGAAAAATAAGATTTAACATCAAATATCTATTTTATACCAATCTACTTTGGAGCACAATGCATAAAAATGAACACAATCTTCAAATCTGTAACTGTAAACTGAATTAAATAAATATGCCATTTTGTTTTATAATAGTCATCGAGTCTCTCACATATACATAAAACATACAAAGGTTTTCAGGCAATAGACTGAGGCTGAATTAGTATAAATCTATATCACCATTTAGAAAATTTTACCATACCATTCAACATTCCTTTAACATCCGACACAGTATGAATGTAAGGAGTCAACACTGTAGTCTATATACCTTGCACAACCCCCACTGACTCTCCTTATTTCTAGAAGCTCATTAAACATCTCATGAAGTTGTATGAAAGAAAGTCACTGCTTTGGGCACCTGGGTGGCTCAGTTGGTTAAGTGTCTGACTTCAGTTCAGGTCACAATCTAGGAGTCCAAGAATCTGGCCCCACACACCAGGCCCCGAGTAGGGCTCCACGCCCACCAAGGTGTCTGCTTCTCCTCCTCCCTCTGTCCTTCCCCCTGCTCGTGCTCTCTCTCTCTGATATATAAATTATTTAATTTAAAAGAAAGTCACTGCTTGAAAAACAACAAATATGGATATTTCAATCACCTCCTATAACTACCATTTTTCCATGTGTCTTTAGTAACTCAAAAAACTTAGTCATTTAAAAAACAAACTCTGTAATGTGCCTACAACTCATGCTATCAAACAACTTGCAAAAATTACTATTAAAAAGTCAGTAATAAAAACGTGAAATGTTAATTCAGCATTTTACTGAAAAATCTGAGTTTCCTTTTAATTCTGTAATTACATTTTTTTTCATAACTACCTTTTTCTAATAGCAACTGCTCAGTATCTCCTGAAATTTCCAACTTACCTTAATCATCCTAAAGTATATGTGCAAAGAAGCAGCCATGACCCCAACATCTCTGTCACAAAGTGCTTTCCGAAACTTAATGTGAATATGCTGTACTTGATTAGGAGCAATGAGATAGAATTTATATAATGCCAGAACAGCTTTTCTTCGTATAATCTCCCTAAAGATAAAAAATAAAATCTAAACAAACCATCTGACTTGTCAGGCATTTAGTTTGAAAAGACTGTAGATGAAATGATTCCAAGATAGCAGCTATTACCTTAATCTAAAAAAGAAAGAATTACTCATTTTTGTTCATTTCTTTATTCTAATCCACTAAACTATAAAAAGCGGTTATCTCCAGGAGGTAAGAGCTCAAGAGACTAAACACCCATGTTATACATTTCTGTAGTTACATAATTTTTGGTAACAAGCATGCATTTATTATTTTTGAAACCAGAACAAACAAGGAAAATAAACAAACTTTTTTTCTTTAACATATAATGTATTATCTGCCCCAGGGGTACAGGTCTGTGAATCATCAGGCTTACACATTTCACAGCACTCACCATAACTCATATCCTCCCCAATATGAATAAACTCTTTAATTCCCTAATTCCATTTTTGAATGCCCTCTCTCTAGAAATTGGGAAAGAATCAACAATTCTAACTTATAAAGGTAGTTCTGTCTACTAATATTAAACAGTTTCTTTATTAATATTGGAAATCTCATTAATATTTTACTTTCTATTATTTTTTTTTGTACCATGGGCAAGCATATTCCAAATACTTTAGGGAGGCAGGGCAGCAGAAAGGGAGACTCACATTAAAAGATGTTACTCTTCCCCTTGCCCAACTCATGTTTCAAAAATGTCATTACAATGAAGAGGAAAGCAGGAACACCTGGGTGGCTCAGTGGGTTGAGCGTCTGCCTTCAGCTTAGGTCATAATCTTGGGGTCCTGGGATGAAGCCCCACATTGGGCTCTCTGCTCAGTGGGAGCCTATCCCCCCCACCCTCTTCCTGCTCTTCCTTACACTCTTTCTCAAATAAGTAAAACCTTAAAAAAAAAAATGAAAAGGAAAGTATATACTAATCCTACACTTAATTTTTTTTTTTTAAAGATCTTATTTATTTATTTGTCAGGGACAGAAGGAGAGAGCAAGCGAGCACAGGCAGACAGAGAGGCAGGCAGAGGCAGAGGGAGAAGCAGGTTCCCTGCTGAGCAAGGAGCCCGATGTGGGACTCGATCCCAGGACACTGGGATCATGACCTGAGCCGAAGGCAACCGCCCAACCAACTGAGCCACCCAGGCGTCCCCTTACACTTAATTTTTAACAGATAATGTCTAGCACACAAGAAGCAAAATAAGAAGTTACTATCCTATATTCTATTATAATTTCCAAGGAAGTATATCCCTTGTTATTCTCACTCATGCCTCTTTCTAAATATATCTTATTTGCAGGCTATGCTGGCAATGCTCGTAACAGCAGCAAGTGTCACAAAAGTGAAGTATTTACTTTTAGGGTTCCTTAATAAGTATTTCTGTTACCTAAAATCATAGAATCTCAAAATTGAGATTATTCAATGCAATCCTACGTGTCCCACTCAAAAATACCTTTTAGAATATTCCTAACAAATGTCAAATTTAGCTTCTTTTAATTTCCATTAACAAGCAACTCACTACCTTCCTAGGCAAACTATGCCAGGACGGAAAATTCTTTTTCCAGAGAAAGCAAAAGCAGATTAACAACAGATTTGCCATCAATATTATTAATACTATGGTGCCTATAAACTATATCTCATTATATGTACTGCTATTAAGGGTTAACAAATATCAGTTCTGAGAGAGAATAAGTAAACGAGATGATGGAATGCAAACACTCAACAGGCTCAGGAATCTGCAAGCCTGGCCCTTTGTGGTGGTACTAACAACAGACATCAGGAGGGAGGAGTCAAGATGGCGGAGAAGTAGCCGGCTGAGACTACTTCAGGTAGCGGGAGATCAGCTAGATAGCTTATCTAAAGATAGCAAACACCTACAAATCCAACGGGAGATCGAAGAGAAGAAGAACAGCAATTCTAGAAACAGAAAATCAACCACTTTCTGAAAGGTAGGACTGGCAGAGAAGTGAATCCAAAGCGACGGGAAGGTAGACCGCGGGGGGAGGGGCCGGCTCCCGGCAAGCGGCGGAGCAACGGAGCAGAAAATCAGGACTTTTAAAAGTCTGTTCCGCTGAGGGACATCGCTCCAGAGGCTTAACCGGGGTGAAGCGCACGCGGGGTCAGCGTGGCCTCAGGTCCCGCAGGGTCACAGAAGGATCAGGGGTGTCTGAGTGTCGCAGAGCTTACAGGTATTAGAACGGGGAAGCCGGCTACAGAGACAGCCGAGGAGTGAGCTCTCAGCTCGGGGTTACCTTGAACGGCTCGCAGGCTCGGTCAGCTCAGAGCGTGGCCGGAGGCCAGGGTGACAGGAGCAATTGGGCGCTGTTCTCTGAGGGCGCACTGAGGAGTGGGGCCCCAGACTCTCGGCACCTCTGGGCCGGAGACTGGGAAGCCGCCATCTTCATTCCCGTCCTCCGGAACTCTACGGAAAGCGCTCAGGGAACAAAAGCTCCCGAAAGCAAACCCGAGCGGATTACTCAGCCCGGCCCCTGGTAGGGGTGATGCAACTCCGCCTGGGGCAAAGACACTTGAGAATCACTACAACAGACCCCTCCCCCAGAAGATCCACAAGAAACCCAGCCAGGACCAAGTTCACCTACCAAGGAGTGCAGTTTCAATACCAAGGAGAACAGCGGAATTCCAGAGGAGGAGAAAGCAAAGCACGGAACTCATGGCTTTCTCCCCATGATTCTTTAGCCTTGCAGTTAATTTAATTTTTTTTTCTTTTTCAATTTTTTTTTCTCTTCTTCTGCTAAATTTTTTTAAATTTTACCCTTTTCTTTTTTAACGTTTTTTAACTAGTTTATCTAATATATATATATATTTTTTCCATTTTATATTTTTTCATTATTGGTTTTCTTTTTTTATTTGTTTCTTTTTCCTTTTTTGTTTTTTGTTTTTTTTCTTTTTTTCTTTCTGAACCTCTTTATATCCCCTTCCCCGCCCTCACGATTTGGGATCTCTTCTGATTTGGCTAAAGCATATTTCCCTGGGGTTGTTGCCACCCTTTTAGTATTTCACTTGTTCCTTCATATACTCTTATCTGGACAAAATGACAAGGCGGAAAAAGTCACCACAAAAAAAAAGAACAAGAGGCAGTACCAAAGGCTAGGGACCTAATCAATACAGACATTGGTAATATGTCAGATCTAGAGTTCAGAATGACAATTCTCAAGGTTCTAGCCGGGCTCAAAAAAGGCATGGAAGATATTAGAGAAACCCTCTCGGGAGATATAAAAGCCCTTTCTGGAGAAATAAAAGAACTAAAATCTAATCAAGTTGAAATCAAAAAAGCTATTAATGAGGTGCAATCAAAAATGGAGGCTCTCACTGCTAGGATAAATGAGGCAGAAGAAAGAATTAGCGATATAGAAGACCAAATGACAGAGAATAAAGAAGCTGAGCAAAAGAGGGACAAACAGCTACTGGACCACGAGGGCAGAATTCGAGAGATAAGTGACACCATAAGACGAAACAACATTAGAATAATTGGGATTCCAGAAGAAGAAGAAAGAGAGAGGGGAGCAGAAGGTATATTGGAGAGAATTATTGGAGAGAATTTCCCCAATATGGCAAAGGGAACAAGCATCAAAATCCAGGAGGTTCAGAGAACCCCCCTCAAAATCAATAAGAATAGGTCCACACCCCGTCACCTAATAGTAAAATTTACAAGTCTTAGTGACAAAGAGAAAATCCTGAAAGCAGCCCGGGAGAAGAAGTCTGTAACATACAATGTTAAAAATATTAGATTGGCAGCAGACTTATCCACAGAGACCTGGCAGGCCAGAAGGAGCTGGCATGATATATTGAGAGTACTAAACGAGAAAAACATGCAGCCAAGAATACTATATCCAGCTAGGCTATCATTGAAAATAGAAGGAGAGATTAAAAGCTTCCAGGACAAACAAAAACTGAAAGAATTTGCAAACACCAAACCGGCTCTACAGGAAATATTGAAAGGGGTCCTCTAAGCAAAGAGAGAGCCTAAAAGTAGTAGATCAGAAAGGAACAGAAACAATATACAATAACAGTCACCTTACAGGCAATACAATGGCACTAAATTCATACCTCTCAATAGTTACCCTGAATGTTAATGGGCTAAATGCCCCAATCAAAAGACACAGGGTATCAGAATGGATAAAAAAACAAAACCCATCTATATGTTGCCTACAAGAAACTCATTTTAAACCCGAAGACACCTTCAGATTTAAAGTGAGGGGGTGGAAAAGAATTTACCATGCTAATGGACATCAGAAGAAAGCAGGAGTGGCAATCCTTATATCAGATCAATTAGATCTTAAGCCAAAGACTATAATAAGAGATGAGGAAGGACACTATATCATACTCAAAGGATCTGTCCAACAAGAAGATCTAACAATTTTAAATATCTATGCCCCTAACGTGGGAGCAGCCAACTATATAAACCAATTAATAACAAAATCAAAGAAACACATCGACAATCATACAATAATATTAGGGGACTTGAACACTCCCCTCACTGAAATGGACAGATCATCCAAGCAAAAGATCAACAAGGAAATAAAGGCCTTAAATGACACACTGGACCAGATGGAGATCACAGATATATTCAGAACATTTCATCGCAAAGCAACAGAATACACATTCTTCTTAGTGCCCAAGGAACATTCTCCAGAAGAGATCACATCCTCGGTCCTAAATCAGGTCTCAACCGGTATCAAAAGATTGGGATCATTCCCTGCATATTTTCAGACCACAATGCTCTAAAGCTAGAAATCAATCACAAGAGGAAATTTGGGAAGAACCCAAATACATGGAGACTAAACAGCATCGTTCTAAAGAATAATGGGTCAACCAGGAAATTAAAGAAGAATTGAAAAAATTCATGGAAACCAATGATAATGAAAACAAAACGGTTCAAAATCTGTGGGACACAACAAAGGCAGTCCTGAGAGGAAAATATATAGCGGTACAGCCTTTCTCAAGAAACAAGAAAGGTCTCAGGTACACAACCTAACCCTACACCTAAAGGAGCTTGAGAAAAAACAAGAAAGAAACCCTAAACCCAGCAGGAGAAGAGAAATCATAAAGATCAGAGCAGAAATCAATGAAATAGAAACCAAAAAAACAATAGAACAAATCAACGAAACTAGGAGCTGGTTCTTTGAAAGAATTAATAAGATTGATAAACCCCTGGCCAGACTTATCAAAAAGAAAAGAGAAAGGACCCAAATAAGTAAAATCATGAATGAAAGAGGAGAGATCACAACTAACACCAAAGAAATACAGACAATCATAAGAACATATTATGAGCAATTCTATGCCAACAAATTTGACAATCTGGAAGAAATAGATGCATTCCTAGAGACATATAAACTACCACAACTGAACCAGGAAGAAATAGAAAGCCTGAACAGACCCATAACCAGTAAGGAGATTGAAACAGTCATCAAAAATCTCCAAACAAACAAAAGCCCAGGGCCAGACGGCTTCCCGGGGGAATTCTACCAAACATTTAAGGAAGAACTAATTCCTATTCTCCTGAAACTGTTCCAAAAAATAGAAATGGAAGGAAAACTTCCAAACTCATTTTATGAGGCCAGCATCACCTTGATCCCAAAACCAGACAAGGATCCCATCAAAAAAGAGAACTACAGACCAATATCCTTGATGAACACAGATGCAAAAATTCTCACCAAAATACTAGCCAATAGGATTCAACAGTACATTAAAAGGATTATTCACCACGACCAAGTGGGATTTATTCCAGGGCTGCAAGGTTGGTTCAACACCCGCAAATCAATCAATGTGATACAACGCATTAATAAAAGAAAGAACAAGAACCATATGATACTCTCCATAGATGCTGAAAAAGCATTTGACAAAGTACAGCATCCCTTCCTGATCAAAACTCTTCAAAGTGTAGGGATAGAGGGCACATACCTCAATATTATCAAAGCCATCTATGAAAAACCCTTCGCAAATATCATTCTCAATGGAGAAAAACTGAAAGCATTTCCACTAAGGTCAGGAACACGGCAGGGATGTCCGTTATCACCACTGCTATTCAACATAGTACTAGAAGTCCTAGCCTCAGTAATCAGACAACAAAAAGAAATTAAAGGCATCCAGATCGGCAAAGAAGAAGTCAAACTATCACTCTTCGCAGATGATATGATACTATATGTGGAAAACCCAAAAGACTCCACTCCAAAACTGCTAGAACTGGTACAGGAATTCAGTAAAGTGTCAGGATATAAAATCAATGCACAGAAACCAGTTGCATTTCTCTACACCAACAACAAGACAGAAGAAAGAGAAATTAAGGAGTCAATCCCATTTACAATTGCACCCAAAACTATAAGATACCTAGGAATAAACCTAACCAAAGAGACTAAGAATCTATACACAGAAAACTATAAAGTACTCATGAAAGAAATTGAGGAAGACACAAAGAAATGGAAAAATGTTCCATGCTCCTGGATTGGAAGAATAAATATTGTGAAAATGTCTATGCTACCTAAAGCAATCTACACATTTAATACAATTCCTATCAAAGTACCATCCAAAAGAAATGGAGCAAATAATCCTAAAACTTATATGGAACCAGAAAAGACCTCGAATAGCCAAAGGAATATTGACAAAGAAAGCCAAAGTTGGTGGCATCACAATTCTGGACTTCAAGCTCTATTACAAAGCTGTCATCATCAAGACAGCATGGTACTGGCACAAAAACAGACACATAGATCAATGGAACAGAATAGAGAGCCCAGAAATAGACCCTAAACTCTATGGTCAACTAATTTTCGACAAAGCAGGAAAGAATGTCCCATGGAAAAAAGACAGCCACTTCAATAAATGGTGTTGGGAAAATTGGACGGCCACATGCAGAAAAATGAAATTGGATCATCTCCTTACACCACACACGAAAATAGACTCAAAATGGATGAAGGACCTCAATGTGAGAAAGGAATCCATCAAAATCCTCGAGAAGAACACAGGCAGCAACCTCTTCGACCTCAGCCAAAGCAACATCTTCCTAGGAACATCGCCAAAGGCAAGGGAAGCAAGGGCAAAAATGAACTATTGGGATTTTATCAAGATCAAAAGCTTTTGCACAGCAAAGGAAACAGTTGACAAAACCAAAAGACAACTGACAGAATGGGAGAAGATATTTGCAAACGACATATCAGATAAAGGGCTAGTGTCCAGAATCTATAAAGAACTTAGCAAACTCAACCCCCAAAGAACAAATAATCCAATCAAGAAATGGGCAGAAGACATGAACAGACATTTCTGCAAAGAAGACATCCAGATGGCCAACAGACACATGAAAAAGTGCTCCACATCACTCGGCATCAGGGAAATACAAATCAAAACCACAATGAGATACCACCTCACACCAGTCAGAATGGCTAAAATTAACAAGTCAGGAAATGACAGATGCTGGCGAGGATGCGGAGAAAGGGGAACCCTCCTACACTGTTGGTGGGAATGTAAGCTGGTGCAACCATTCTGGAAAATAGCATGGAGGTTCCTCAAAATGTTGAAAATAGAACTACCCTATGACCCAGCAACTGCACTACTGGGTATTTACCCTAAAGATATAAATGTAGTGATCTGAAGGGGCATGTGCACCCGAATGTTTATAGCAGCAATGTCTACAATAGCCAAACTATGGAAAGAACCTAGATGTCCATCAACAGATGAATGGATAAAGAAGATGTGGTATATATACACAATGGAATACTATGCAGCCATCAAAAGAAATGAAATCTTGCCATTTGCGACGACGTGGATGGAACTAGAGGGTATCATGCTTAGTGAAATAAGTCAATCGGAGAAAGACAACTATCATATGATCTCCCTGAGGAGATGCATAGAGGAGATGCAACAGGGGGGGTTAAGGGAGTAGGAGAAGAATAAATGAAACAAGATGGGATTGGGAGGGAGACAAACCATAAGTGACTCTTCATCACACAAAACAATCTGAGGGTTGCTGGGGTGAGGGGGGTTGGGAGGGGGGGTGGGGTTATGGACACTGGGGAGGGTATTTGCTATGGTGAGTGCTGTGAAGTGTGTAAACCTAGTGATTCACAGACCTGTACCCCTGGGGATAAAAATATATGTTTATAAAAAATAAAATTAAATTAAAAAAAAAAAAAGACATCAGGAGACCTGGATTGAGGCCATAGGTCTGGCATGGTGAAATTCAAAAGTCAAGGCCAACCATCATCTTTGTGACATCCACTGGCCTACCTACAGCTCTGACCCATGTTCTTCTGCATGGAGTTAGGTATGGCCGTAATGGCAGAAGCAGAGTTTCAAAAAGTCTAACTGGTGAAAGACAGGAAAGGCCAGGATTTGAAATTAGAGTACATGAGAAGCAATAAGGAAGAAATTCAGTTCTCAGAGGATTTCACACAAAGGCTAAGTATTTAATTATCACAAAACAGTGGGGATAAGGGAAATTTACATAAAAATAATGCTCTGCTATGACCAGATCAACCAGTAATTATCTAAGAAAAACTGTATTTTATTTCTAGTAATTGATTGTCTATAGCCGTCATTTGTTCTGAACACAGATCTAACATAAATAAAACATTAACAAAAAAATATTAAGAATGTACGTATAATCAAAATATTGTAATCACAAAAAAAAAAAAAAAAAAAGGAAAAAGTGATTGCAAACTTTTTCCTAGCTCTAAAGGTTATGAAGTTATGGAACTTCATCAAGAACAGAACAAAAATGAAATAACAAAACAAAACAGGGGCGCCTGGGTGGCTCAGTCAGTTAAGCATCTGCCTGCGGCTCAGGTCATGATCCTGGAGTCCCAGGATCAAGTCCCACATCAGCCTCTCTTCTCATCAGACAGCCTGCTTCTGCCTCTCCCTGCTTGTACTCTCTTGCTCTCACTCTCACTCTCTCTTAGATAAATAAATAAAATCTTTTAAAAAAAATAATAACTTGTGAAAAAGTAAGTCAAACTGATAAGGAGAGTTAAGGAATCTTATAAGATAGGATTAGCAAAATACTGTAAGTTAAGGTTTATCTGGATACATTCTGCTATAAAACAGAATTTGAACACTACAGTTTTGCCATGAAAGCAACCTCAATACACTGAAGCTCTGTATTCATAGCACTTGAACCACTACCAGATTTTTTCCATTATGTCACTTTATCCTCAAAACAACTCTGTGAAAACTAACATGCTTCAACCAACCCCACATAGCCAAAGGAAAAAGAGGACCACTGCTGATTAGTGGTAGAACTGGGAGAAAAGCCATGGATTCCTGACACTAAACCTCACTGCCTCTCAGTTTAAATTTAGAAAGCTACCTGGCATTTTCTCGAACCCATGTAAAATGAAGGATGCTGCTATTAGGGATTTTTGCATTATATCTGGCAATCAAAGGATATCCTCCACCCTGACAACATTAAGTTAAAGTTATAATAAAATTTTTAGTATAAATTTTTGTTTTGAAATATATAGTATAGAGTGGTACCCCAAAATAATTTACTTACTTAGAATGCTGAAGTTTATCTTCAATTAATGGAAGAACAGCTGGAATCATTTCTCGAGGGAAAATCTGGCTGACGATAGTAAGAGCCATACATACTTCTACCAGGTTAGTGCTCTGCAAGTCCTGACATAATGATTAAGCAAACAAAACATTCAGTGCAAATCTTGAAATTTAGGGTTAGTGAGTTCAACATTGCAATGGTCCTACATATATACAGTTTTCTACTAACTTTATAATTAATTTGTACATTCAGAACAGATCCTAGAGAAAAACAACAGCCAGAAAAGTGCATCTGACTAAAAGTCTAGAGATTTGCTTTCAAATGAAACCATAATAACAGCAGTAGAACAATGTTTCACTTAACCCCTACAACTGGGTTAAGGTCTATTACTAGCCTCATTTTACAAACTCAGAAACTGATCGAAAAGATCTTTCTAGGGGCTCCTGGGTGGCTCAGTGGGTTAAAGACCCTGCCTTCGGCTCAGGTCATGATCTCAGCATCCTGGGATTGAGCCCTTGCATCAGGCTCTCTGCTCAGCGGGGAGCCTGCTTCCCCCTCTCTCTCTGCCTGCCTCTCTGCCTACTTGTGAACTCTGTCTGCAAATAAATAAATAAAATATTTTAAAAATAAATTCATAATTAATTTTTTTAAAAAAGATCTTTCTAAGCCCATTCTGTAAGCCTGGCTTCTTCTAAAAATATCTAATTCAATATGATTGAGGTAAAATGTCAGATACCTGGAAGACTAATTTAAGACTTCATATTTACCAACATATAATACAGTACCTTTACAACTGTATTCACAAGGAGAAGCAGCAGTTCATGATTTTCATGTAGGAATAAAGAAACAGCCAAATAACCTATAAAATTTGAGGGGGAAAGTCTCATTATTACCTAATAAAAATGAACTTTTCCCAAGAAATTAAACAAAGCAATAATATATTCAAAAAATTAAGTGTCAAAGATAACAGCTACAGGTTAACTATAAAGACAGATTGCAAAATACGAGGTTCAAAAACTTCAGGAAGATTTCAGATGTTCTTTATCCTGAAATCCTTCATAATTATGTATCACAGGATATACCTGAAACAGAAAAGAGGTTCTCTGTACTAACTTGAAGTCCTATAAATGACATAAGAAATACATCTTCTATCTTATGTGCATATCTCTACACAATCAATCAAAATATTTTCTATCTTGTAATCAAATATACAACTGTTGAAAAACTAAAAGCTACCGTAGTTACTAGGGAGTTACTGGCTATTTGTTATTATTGAATGAGCCACCCACTACCATTGCATATGATGTAAATCATATATTAAGCCATAAACAATACCTTATTTTCTCAATATGAAGATACACTATTGAAGAAATAACAGTTGTAGAGGAAAGAAACACTGTCTACCACATTAAATGGAATCATTGATTTAAGTAAGTGTTTTTATTTCAATATTAAAAAGGACATCTTACGATTGAAGACATACATTAATACTGCGACAGATGCATGTACATGGACTCTAGATACTCCATGTCACTTTCTTGTCACCCTTCATTCTGATAAACATTTGTTAGACAGTTACTGGATCAGTACATTACAAGCCTCACCTCATTCAATCCTTACCACTCTATGAAGTATTATTACCCCCCAAAAGAATATGAGGCCCATAAAGGGTAACTGCACAAAGTCTATGGCTAGTACATGGTGGAGCCAGTCAGTAGGAGTTAACTCATGTTTTAATCCCTATGCTGTCCTGTCTCTCCACACAGTCTGAGGCCCTATTCCCTGACTTCCATCCTCACTGTTTTCCATTCTTCTCAATTCTTTCAGTCCTCTCATTAGGGAGTCTAACTGTCCCCACCTTATCCACACACTGTGTGTGTGTGTGTGTCTGCTGGGAATCATGGGAAAGCTGTTAGAAACCACCTATTCTCACAACCAAGAAGTAGCAGCATGACAAAGAAAAAAGACTATAACCAGGGGCAAAAAAGAGATGAGAAAAACCTTAGGGAGCATTTAAAGAGATTAGATCTTACAGACTGCTGAGAACTCATGTGATCAGCCAAGATATCACCCACACCCAAGTCACCAATATCAAGGTATGAAAAGATGAACAAATTCAAAGACCATCTCAATAAAACCTTAATTTTTTTCTGTTACAAAGAATATCCTTAACTATTTTGACTCTCAGGAAATAGGGGAGAGAATATATGGTGACTCAAAAGATGAAAAGGTTCCAGAAGAAAAGAATAATGACTATGATTATGGAATATGTTTGATATAAAAGTGTAACATATAGAATAAGAATACAAGCTTTGACTCATACATACTTGGGTTTACATTCAGGATCCATCCTTTATTAGCTATATGACCTTGGACAAGTGACTTAACCTTTCTAAGCCTCAGTTTTGTCCTATCTCCCAAAATAAAGCACCTAACATCATGTCTGATTTAATGTACTAAAATGTATTTTATTCAATTATATTTCTAAAAAAAATAAGAAGGTGTCTCCATCAGAGAAAGCAACAAAACTAGTCTTATACATCTCAGGAGAGCTGAAGAGGCAACAGCACCAGAGTGAAGACATATATAAGGTTTAACTGCTATCTTAGGGGTGCCTGGGTGGCTCAGTTGGTTAAGCAATGCCTTCAGCTTAGATCGTGATCTGGGAGTTCTGGGATCGAGACCCACATTGTGCTCCCAGCTCCCCAGGGAGTCTGCTTCTCCCTCTGACATTCTCCCCTCTCATGCTTGCTCTCACTGTCTCTCTCAAATAAATAAAAACTTTTAAATAAATAAATAAAGTTATCTTAAAAAAAAATTTCTACTCATTAGCACACATAAAAAATGTCAATACCTATAGATAAATGTCCTTCCACATGGCAATAAAATACTTCCCTAAGACCATAAACCTCAATAAAAATGACTCTGAGGTCTCTGTTAAAATAAGTTTTCATAATTATGCATAACACCTTATGCGTAATTATGAAATAATTATGAAATAAGTACAAGCTTATTCACTGCAACATTATTTACAAGAGCAAAAATAAAAAATAACCCATATGTCTACCAACAGAGACCTGATGGAAAAAACTATGGCCTATCCATCCATCCAATGAAAATGATGCAACTGTATAGAAATATGAAGATTTCAAAACAAGGTGTAGAATAATCTATACAGCCATGTTATCTTCTGCATAAGAGGGAGTGTTTGAGTATACCAGTGCATTTGCTTGTTTTACAAAAAGAAACAATGGAAAGATTAATCAGAAACTAATGAAAATGTTACCTACAGGAGTTAAGGAACAAACTGGGTAAGAGAGGTCAGAGATAAAAGTCAGACTTCTTTGATTATACCTTTTTATAAGGTCCTAACTTTTGAACAATTTTTAAAATAAAATTAAGTAGAAAATGAAAAAAATTATATGACCATCTAAGAAGCACGACATAGCAACAGCTGTACAAAATCACAGCACCAACCATTTCATATTGACTGCCTATTGTTTTCAAAATTTCCCTGCCTTTAGGGATCTTAGAATTAGTTCGAGAGCTAAAAACATTAATAAAACACTAATATATGAAAAGGCAACAACATAAGATAACAGATGGTAAAAGCCACCCAGGTGATCACAGAAGAGTAAAACTTGATTTGGAATACAACGAGGGACAGACAGCATGCCAGAGGACATTTCCCTTGGAGGGAAGAATACAACAAATCTCAAAGAGTGGAGTGAGTTTCAATAAATAGAATACTGGGTGCACCTGGTCTTAGAATCTTCCCCAAAATATCTTTCTCCTCCACCCCCTCATCTGACAGAGGTGAATATAATTTGTGAAGAACGTTGGTCCTTGAAAACATGACACTATCAACTGTTTTGAATAAAGAACATGTTGTACTCCTGTAATACTGTCACGTGTTTCCTTCTTGGATTCTGTTACACAGATGAACCTACATGAGCAAAAGATTTAAGCCCTTATTTTAAAGGATATTTCCTAATAGCCCTAAACGTTGATTAAAAAGACAAAACTTTTTAAGAGATACCTCTAATCCTCACAGCTAACATTTATGAAACTAAGAACAGTATATTTTAAATTATTCAAGTCAATTTCAGTTTTTATTCTATAAGGAAACTTTTTTGATCATTGAACTGATGAGGTCAGGCAGAATTTAAAATCAGCTTTGCTGAGATATAATTTACACACAAGAAAATGCACTCATTTTTAAGTGTATGCCTTAATGAGTTTTGACAAATACAGACAGTCATCCAACAATCACAAAATAGGTAATTTTTAATCTCCATAACCCCATAATGCTATGGATCAGTAAGAGTAATTTCACTTACAGATTTGAGTTTTTGAAGTGTTCTCTTTTAAAGCTTTGGAAATTACAAGGCAGTGTTCTAAAAACACCCTATATACTCACCATCATTGATTTTACCTAGTTCCCGGAACTTTAAGGGCAACATTAAGTATAAAAACCTTACACACATACATACCTACTCTTTTTTCTAAAAGGTTTCCTTGTTGTGCCAACTTGATTGCATGTATATAGCCAAAGGAAGCATCATATCCAAGCATTTCACAATATATAAGTCTCACCATACATTCCTTCATCATTTTCTGCAAAACAAAATATCCAGTAACTGCATAAATAAATAGAATACTTTGATTTTAAGTCTTAAATTATGTTGCAATCATTTCACAGGGAGATCTCTTAATCCTGGCACTGAAGAAATAACACATATACATATTATAAATCCATAATCTGAAGTCAAACTTTATAAATAGATGTTGCTCCAAAACTTAGCTTACCAACAGTTTTAGTAAAATTATTTTCACATTTTGTTAGTGGCAACATTATAAAATAAATCAACCACAGCTATTTCTTTTATTTTTTTTAAGACTTATTTATTTATTTGAGAGAGCAAGCACATGCACAAGCAGGGTGAGTGGCAGAGGGAGAAGGAGCAAGAGACTCTTAAGCAGGCTCCACACTCAGCACGGAGCCCGACACCAGGCTTGATATCACAACCCCCAGATCATGACTGATCCAAAAACAAAAGTTGGACACTCAACTGATTGAGCCATCCAGGCACCTGAACTATAGCTCTTCCTAATTCTAGGTGTCCCTGTGTAAAATTTGGTTATAATATGGGACACATGATCTTCAGGCAAAATTTCACCCATGGTATTATGACTTGGCTTCTAGATTGGAGCACATGATTTTAATATTCTTTGCTGAATGAAAACATCCATAAAATTCCCATAAGTTAGTAATAATTTATAAAGAAAACAATGTTTACATTTAAAAACCAAACTGCACCCAGACTTTCTTCAGAATTATTTTATTGGACATAACATGCAATAGTTTGTTTTACTGGCATTCTTTTTAAATAACTCTCAGTTATTAGTAACAGAAGGCATGATATCAATGCTACAGCCATTCCAACACTTAATTTTTTAACTGGGTCTTTCAGTATTTATAACACAAGCTAATAAGTTGTTTTAGGAGATTCTATAATTTGTTTTATTAGTATAATAATATTTGCATTCTCAACATTTATAGCAAATTTTAATCATAAATAAAAAATATAAATAAAATGTGCTTTAATATAATTCCACAGCCCATTTTAATATCTAAAAATTAACTAGGTTAGTGTATTATACAAAATACTTAGAAAATAATAACAAGTATTTTTAAGTAAGGATAATAATATTTACTAATTCATATTTATATATGTATTTATATACAAAGATATATATACACATATCATATTTATATGCATAAACATGAAGAGTTTTAAAAGAAACCATAGGAAAATCCTTGGAAAATAAGATTTAATTCAGGTCACTTATGTTTAAAATAGTAACAATTAATTCATTAGTATATTAAGACTACTAAACACTGAAAAAAACAAGGTTAAAAGATACTGAAAGTTCCTCTTAAAAGGCTTTCACATCAATTAGGAGTGAAAGTATTCATCTAATCCATTAAGTTTCATCCCTGGTTTTGTAACTTTCTATAGCATACATTTTTATTCTCCTAGTTTATGAGAAGAAAGTCCATTCCCTATTGCAGAATTTTTTTTTTTTTTACAATTTCTCTAACAAACTCTCATGGAACCTCTACCCAACCACCTCAGAGACAGACTACAAAGTATGCCCAGAGGCACCTGGGTGGCTCAGTTGGTTAAGCATACGACTCATAATTTTGGCTCAGGTTATGACCTCAGGGTCATGCAATGGAGCCTGCATGCGACTCCATGCTGAGGGTGGAGCATGCTTGGGATTCCCTCTCTTCTCTCTCTACCCCTCCCGCATCATGCTTGCCCTCTCTCTAATTTAAAAAAAAAAAAAAAAAAAAAAAAAAAAAAAGCATGCCCGGAGCTGGATAGCCATAATTATTATAAAATCTTCCATCCAAAATCTGGCTCCCTAAGTTCTACCTATTTATCTTATTTCTCCAGGTGTGTCAATTATAAAAATGGAAATCAAACAAAGTAAAAGGAAAGAAACCATTTCTGCTTAACATTTCTATCAAGTATCATGAATAAATACACAATGACTTCATACATATACACACATATACCTATCTACACACATACACATACATACATATACACACACATAAATATATCAGATTAACTATGCTGTGAAGTTCATTTGTCCAAATATTACTATGATCATAAAAGGAAATATATATTCTCTTAAGCTATAAAAATGTTATTCATGTACATGATCGTGTGTTCATGCAAAATATTCACCCTAATATTCTTATTAGAAGAGGGAGAATACTCACTAAATATTTGCTGAATAATGTTGCTTGGCAAAATCTCATATGAAACCACATGAAAATTGAAAGAAAAAAAAAACTTGGGTCTTAATGAAACTATGTAGGGACAGTGGCCTGCACAGTGGCTACTCATTAAATAGCTGCTAAAAAGGCTTTTTGAGAAATCAAGTTATATGGCTCAAGTTCTAAAATAACTGGAACTTGATTTCGCTGTTGTGCAATACAGTGTTTTAGAGCAAGAAAACCGTTTTCTACCTCATTCACCTATATTCCAAGATGTAGCACAGCAAAATGAGAGATCTATAATATACCAATCCAGGACTGAAAATATTACTTTAAATAAATGATATAGCATAACATCTTCCCAGTACACAACATTAAAACAATAAGATCAGCACTGGGGTCCCATGAGTATTGCCACATTTATTAATTATCATCATGCTGGCACTGAATTGGCATCAGTCAAGCAAGCCTTGCCCTGGTGCAGCCCGCAAATAATAAAAAGATAACTAACAAAGCTAAAATAAACAACTGTATGCCTGTAAACAAAACAAAACAAAACAAAAAAGCTTAAGCTGGTGTGTGACCTGCTACCATCCATAACTAATTGTGACTATGATAAATTAGATTTTAGCAACTGATCAATTAGATGCCACTACAGACTGCATAGTGGACCTGATTTCAAATATTAAATGTGCTGGCACTGACCATGCAAACTCACCAGTGTTGTTGTAGGAGCAGAAACAGTTGCTTTCAGACTACTCAGTTCCTGCTGGATTAGTTTCTCTTCCTCCTAAAAAAATGAAAGTATTTAAATGCACGAATAACGGTCTTTTCAAACTGTAGCAGTAGTTCTTAAAAGGAAAAATGTAACTTATAATGCTTTCAACAAAAAGTAAACGTTATTTTAAAGGACAGTTATAAAAACTACATGCTTAAGATTAGCCTTTCTCCAAACCCTCCCAGTCATTCCTGGAAAGAATAATCCACCGTTCCTTTTTCCTTCACTTAACTACTGTCCTCTCAAGGACAGATTAGCAGAAAACGTTTTGTTTTGTTTTCCTTTGTTTTGAATTCAAGGTGGAGAGAAAGAAGAAATTTTTCATGTACTGGTCCAGGATAAGGGTCTCATGACGAACCTTCCCTTTAAGAATAAAAAGTCCTGGGGCCCAGCCGGCTCAGTCAATGGAGCATCCAACTCTTCATCTTGGGGTTCTGAGTTTGAGCCCCACAATAGGTATAGAGATAAGAATAAAAAAAAATCTTAATAAATAAAGTAAAAAGTCTTCATAGAATAGAAAAAATAGGGTACGAAGGAAGAAACAGAAATAGGTCTTTTTCCCCATAAGCTATACTCTTCCCTCTTCTTTTCTCACTATTCCTCACATCCTTTCCCTCAACTCCCATCTCTCTCTCTCTCTCATATACACAACAAACACATCAATGTGGTCACTTCTGCTGCCTGCATTGTATTTCATCTCCTTAGCACACTTGAATATTGGCCCCATTTTTGGCTAACATGATGCTATCTTTAAATTACACATTCAATCAGCAGATGTCCAGTAGGTAGCTTACTCAAGTACTACTCCTGAGGTACTGCCACATTTAGATACCCTATGTACAGTTCCAAACTGCAATTTAAGACCAAAAGTATTTTTTTAATTTCACTCAGAATCTCACAGAAATGAGTAAAGGACAAAATATTTAGACAAACAATATTATGTCCATAAATAATGATTTCTGAATGTGAAGGAGAAATACATCATCCAGTAGAGCATCATCTTATTTCAACTTTAAAAGAATGTTTTAGGGGCGCCTGGGTGGCTCAGTGGGTTAAAGCCTCTGCCTTCAGCTTGGGTCATGATTCCAGAGTCCTGGGATTGAACCCCGCATCAAACTCTCTGCTCAGCAGGGAGTCTGCTTCTACCTCTCTCTCTCTATCTCCCTGCCTCTCTGCATACTTGTGATCTCTGTCTGCCAAATATATAAATAAAATCTTAAAAAAAAAAAAGTTTTAAACCCCAAGGGCACTTTGAAGAAAATCCTTCTCTCTGGGGACTTATAAGTTATTGTATATTGCTTATACCTGTCTTAAGCCCAAGATGAAGGACCAATTCCTTGGGGAAAAGAAAATTTGTTTTACTCTTTTTCCTCCATGTCTAACACATAACCGCTTTCATAAATTAACTTTTGAGCAAATTATGACATAACAAAATAATCTTATAGATTGTTGAATCTTGGTTCAACTACCAAAGTTTGTGGAAACTTAATACCTTCTATTCTGACTAGTCATTTTCAAAGCCTATCTGAGGCTGAGACAACAAACTTTTATCTGGGGAGAATTAACGCTTTTTCTTTGTTCCCCCCCCCCCCCCCCGCCCCGTTGTTACAACCTAAGAACCTCAAGCTCCCCAAGACGTTGAACAACAGGTTCAGATGGCAGGCTCTGTTCCGGCGTGTGAAAGAACTGGTGAGAGAGAACCTGTAAAGAAACTTTGTAGAAGGTAAGCGATGCTGACACTTCCACGGCACTAGGTATCTTCACTCGCTTGATGGCTCATCTAATCCTCGAAAGAACCTATGGAGTACGTTTTGGTACTTTTCCACTTCAACGTCCAGAAACACACAGAGACTCAAAGATTAGAGAGACCAGCCACAGATGATAATGACTCAGTGTCACGGCCAACTGTGGAAATTCGGCCTCCTAGCTGTCAGTCCGGGAAGGCAAGTGACGCTTCCACACAGACGCGGGGACGCACTGACACACACGGAGTCCCTGAACCCCGCGGGAGGGCCGGCCCCGAGGCTCGCCGCCAGACTCGGGCCTCCCAGCGCGGGGGCCTTTCGCCGGCGCCACTGACCTCCCGGCCCAGCGAGCACTTACGTGCTTGGAAGTTAGCGCGGTGATGCCGCGGACGAGGCCGCCCAGCCGCGAAGAGAAAGACGCCTTGACGCCCGCCGGCCCGCCAACCGACTGGTTCTGCAAAAAGAGTCCCGGCAGCGCCGTCAGCGTCTTCTCCACTATGTCGCTCATCGCCGCCGCCGCCACCACCGCCCGCGATCCGGTCGCCGCCCGGCTTCATGCCCGGCCCCTGCCTAGCCGCCGGCCCGGCCTCCGTAGACACTTCCTGTTTGTTTGAAGAAGAAATCTTTATTCGCGTCGGGCGTGGACAAGGACAGTGTCGTTCTCGAGAGAGGCCGCCGGAGGGCGCGAGAGGCCGCGCGGAGAAGAGGCTAGCCCAGCGGGCGCGCAGAGATTGACTTCCTTGGGAGGAATTGAAGGACCTGATGGTCCGGTTTCGATGGCGACTCCGGTGTTTCCCTTTTCCTTTTATCCGCCTCCGCGCCGCGCGAGACCGTATCTGGAGGCGCATGTTCCTGGGCCCATTCGGCCTCCGTTCCCAGGCTGCGGGACTGCGGGCCCTCCACCCACCTTCCTCCCCCACAACCCGAGGACGGCCCTCGGCGCCAGGCATGACCCCGGCCCTGAGGGAGCGGGGACGCTGCGGAAGGGGAGCGCGGTATGCTGCGCGCTTCCTCGCGCCGGGGTGTCGCAACCGCTGCCGCTTCCTAACCGCCCCTGTTCTCCGGGATTTGGGGACGTTCTCGGGAAAGGGTGGGACGTGGTCGCGAAACCCTCCCCACCCCCACACCCCGGCCAACTCCTGCTCTGCGGCGGCGGTTTCGAGGTCACGCTCCCGAAGCAGCCCACCCGGCGGGCAGACGAGGGTGGGTGTTGTGCCCTACCCGCTCCCAGAGCTCCGTTCTTTCTCCCTTCAGAGCTGATCACAGTGGCCCCTGCGTAAATACCTCATCTCCCTGTGGAGGGGATAGTTCACCTATTGCTGTTACCCCAGCTTCCACCTAGAACAGAATCTGGTACAGTGGTTCTCAGAATGCGGTCTGGTGACTTCTGAGGGTCTGTGTGACCCTTCCAGTGGATCCACGAAGTCCAAACTCTATGTCCAATACTAAAATGTTTGCTGTTTTCACTCTCATCCTTTTGGGAGTATATAGAGAAGTTTTCAAGAGGATAGTTGACTTAAGAGCTTTGTTAGTGGTGGAATGTGTGCTTGAGTACCCCTCTGTTTTCTAGAATGTTCCAAGGTTTAGGGTATAAACATGTGCGCTTTCAGAGATTAACTTAGTTTTTCCTTACTACTACTAGTGTGTTCTCACAAGCTATCCTCCCTTATACCTAGTCTCTGTAACCCCATCACTCCCCCAATAAATGGGTTTTTTGAAATCCCTAAACTGTCCTTGCACCCATGAAGAAACACAAGAAAAAAGTTCATTTTGTGGACTTGCTTTGCAAGAATAGTTTTTAATTTATTGAAAAAGTAAATGTTTAAATATTATTTTAAATTGTTACTCTTATAGAATTTAATATTTTATTCAAAGTAAAATTTGGTTTCTACCCTTTTTTTAACTTTAGGTTCTTTCATTGGCTTACGAAAGGGAGATTAGAAGAGTTGCTTTCTCAATCTTCCAACAGCTAAAGATGCTGAAAAATACGACATTGACCTTAGTATCAGAGGATTCTCTGACTCAGGTAAAGGGGAGAGTCTGGGTGAAACCGTACATAAGAAAGGAAAGGGAATTGAATATTTTAAAATGGTAGGGCCTTTAAAACTCAGAGCATTTTGGGGGCGCTTGGGTGGCTCAGTGGGTTAGGCCTCTGCCTTCGGCTCAGATCATGATCCCAGGGTCCTGGGATCGAGCCCCACATCGGGCTCTCTGCTCTGCAGGGAGCCTGCTTCCTCCTCTCTCTCTCTCTGCCTCCTTCTCTGCCTGCTTGTGATCTCTGTCTGTCAAATAAATAAATAAAATCTTAAAAAAAAAAAAACTCAGAGCATTTTTGATACCACTCTTTGAACTAGAAATGAAAAACCCACTGAAGCATCTTACAGGTGAAATTACTGTGTTGCACTGGCTGCAAAAGGGCAAATGATAACTGAGAGACTAATAAAGCTTGTGTGTTTCTCAGGAAATGACTGCTGGATTAAAAAAGAATCAAAGAAATCATCTTTGGAAAGAAAGTAGCCAAGCTACTTTCCAAGGATGCAGTAGCTCACCAAATTAGAAATTTAGTTGCAATTATAAAGACTGAGATAACATCTGATCTGCAGAATTATATTGCCTTGAAGATGGACTGAAAAATTATATAAACATAGATGTAAGCTGGGCTTGTTGCTTTGCTTGTATCTATCCAGTGTCAGTACTAATACTTGAAAATCTCTTATATAAATGCTTGGCAATAAACATAGGTAGTGCTGAAATAGAGCATTGACCAGTTTTTGGGGGGAAGCTAAAAGCAATATTTATTGAGCACTTTATACATGCCAGTCATTGTTATAAGCACTTTCAGTGTATTAACTCATTTGATCCTTACCATACCCTATGAGGTAGGAGATCTTATTTGTACTTTATGAATGAAGAAACGGAGGTATAGGGTGAAGTAACTTGACCCAAAGTCACACAGCTACCCAGTATAGAGCCGCAATTCAAACCTGGTTATCTGGCTTCAGAACTCATGCTGTCAGGCATCCTATATTTCCTCTCTCTCAACCAGAAGTTTCTCCTGAATATATAAGTTAAATAATGAAAAGAGTGTTGACGTCATCCTGAGTGATGATGACCCTATTGACTCCTTCCACCCACACACTCTAAGGGAGTCAGTGTTTGTTTGCTTGCTTCGGTGAATGACAGGTAGTTTCAGGCCAGAGAGACAGATAGAGGTGGAAGATGGAAGGCAGAAGAAGTGACCAATTTTTTAAAGTAAGTTTATCCTGGAACAATTGTGCTGATATTTGCACCAATGGTATAAAAGCAATACTGGGCAAAAGTGCTGGCACCTTGGCACAAATCAAGGCAGAGGCTGCAAATTGTATTCTTCACTACCATACACTCCCACTGGGGGAGGAGAAAAGCCAGTTTACCTTAGAATATCTTTGATAAAGCAATAAGAATTCTTAATTTTATTAAATCTCGACCTTTCAGTATATGCTTTTTAAGCACTGGGTGTGGCAAAATGGGAAGTACACATCAAGCAGTTCTGATGCACAACCAGGGTTCTTCAAGGAAAAGGACTTGAGGACTTGTTTGACTTGAAAGCTGAACCAGCCACTTTTCTTCATTTATTAACAAACAGAGCCTTTCTTGAAAGTGAACAGCAAGTGTGTCACTTTAAGGAAAATAATTGAATTTGTTGTCACTGATAAAATTTAAGCTTTCGTGTGTAAATTACAATTTTGAAGAATGTGTTTCTACCACCAGGAGTTTGATAATTTCCCAATATGTAGGAACTGTTTTGATAAGATTGGATGTGATATTAATAGAATGTTATTTTTTGATCATATATAATTAAATGTGTCAACATTAGGAGGACCTAAATAACTCAGTGAACCAAAATCTTCCAAATGATCGATGCATGATGTTATAAAATTAGGGAGTGGATGAAAGATCCATTTAAAGTGCATTCTAGCCCAATGATTTTAATGTAACCCAGTGAGAAAATCTCACAGATATGTTTTCAAATTCCACGTTTTAACAAACCTTTAAGAAACTACTTCTTGTTGAGTTTTGGTGTTATACTAAAGAAGAATATCTTCAATTATTTGAAAAGGCTATAAAACTACTCGACTTTGTCCCAAACTGCATATCTGTGTGAGACTAGATTTTTTTCATAAACATCAAACGAAATAACCTGTTGTCGGCTGATAATGGCTCCCAAGGATATATCCGCACTGTAAGCCTTGAAACCTGTGAATAGTGAAACTTGTGCTGATGGGACTGAGTTCATGATCTTGAGGTAAAGAGATTATCCTGTATTATCCCAGTGAGGTCTACAAGCCATCACAAATGTCCTTATAAAAAAGAAGCACCAGGAAATTAGCCAACACACACACACAAGAACAGTTGATGCAGAGATAGGAAGAGATGGGAAGGAGGTAGCCGCAAATGAAGGAATGTTAGCAGTCACCAGAATCGGGAAGGGTCAAGGAGAGAAGTTTCTTCTGGCGCCTCCAGAGGGAGCACTTCCCTGCCCACACCTTGATTTTGGCCCAGTGAAACTTGATGTTGAACTTCTGGCCCCAGAACCACAAAAGAACACATTTCTGTCGTTTTGAGCAGCCAGGTTTTGGTAATTTGTTATAGCAGCCCCAGGAAGCTAATACAATCCCCAAGACAACAGATCAAATAAAGAACCAGGCATGAGAATCCAGCTGTTTTATGTTAAGGCTGAGTAAAGAGATTTGCAAAATTGTGAAACAGTGCCATTCCTCTCACTAATTTTTTTTGTTCTGAATATATAACTGTTTTTCATCTTTTTAATGTTATTAACATACGATGGGTCTGTTTTTTGCTATTTTAAAAATCAGTTAATACCTTAAATTTTCTCAATTTTACTTTTCAATTTAGTAAATATATATTCATATAACTCATATAAACAAAAGGTTTTGGAGGTCCCTGATAACTTTCAAACATGCTGAGGGGGTCCTAAGACCGAAAAGTTTGAAAACTATCTAGTACATAGTAGGTACTCAATTATTCATTGAAATAAGTATATGCATTATTCAGTCACATCAATTGATACATGAGTATAGGCCAATGAACAGCAAAAGACTTTAGGGGTAAAATGAATGGTTGCAAGAGAAATATACAAAAGAGTTCTTAGAAAAGAAAGAAATTTGGGAAAAGACAAAACTATCTCCAACTGACCCAATTGTGAAGAAGTTGGTGGAACAACTTCCAGAGCTTTCTACCCAGTGTGTGACCCAGGCACAAAGATTGTTGAAGCCCCACCAATTTCTACCATTTCTCCTCTAGGTTCCATCTTGCAAAGCTAGAAGTTGATAATAGAGGTAAGAAACAAATGTCAAAAGCCCAGAAGTAAAATGCCTGGTTGGAAAATCTACAGAATTACTTAGCAAGACTTGCTAAGATTTAGAATTATAGGATGTGGAAATTGGAAGAAATTTGGATGTTATCGACACATCCGATCACCTAATGATTGGATAAGTAGGCTGTAGAAGCCACTTGACCAAGGTCACACAACCTTAGAGGTAGAACTGAAATTGTAGCCCTAAATCTAGACTTTGAGTTTGGAGCATTTTCCCCATACTTTCATGGATGGACAATGAAGAGGTTGCCTGTGGCTTCTTGTTCTGAGACTCTGGCTCCAAGTCCTGCCATGAAATGAAAGGGATATAGATGTTTTCTGTGAAG